ACTGAAAGTATTGTCGAAGGGTTCATGTGCACTTTAAATTTCTTGCTACTGACTTCATCCACCACCATGTAGGATATGTCAAATTAGGAATCATAAAATGCCGCTTTCAACTTGATTTTCGACGGGAAAAGAAAAGGGCAAGGATCCCAGAAATTGTAAAGCATTCTTTATGCCCACGATATACCTAAAYCTAAATCTTACCTGAACCTGTGCGCTGATACTTTGCTTTGCATAAGTAAGAGATTCCGTTATAAGTCGTGTCACAGTGTACATCATTGAATCCGGCACCATAATACAGTAGAGACGCGCAGTCTTCTTGTCCGGCATCAGACGTTTTGCCATTTGGCCATATATCTGTTAGGTTTACCACTTTACCATTGAGATATGACCAAATTCCATCTCCATTTTTCTCGTGGAGGCCAATAAACAACTGCCTTATGCCACTTGGGAATCTATAATCCCTGATAAAACGTAATTCTTCATGAGTTTGGATGTCTGCAAGTGAAGCATTTTTTGCTTGGCATTTCTTTACTGCCTGGCGCCAGGTGACCATATCTTCTGTTTCAAATTTGTAGCAGTATCCTTTGTAGACTTTGCTTGTCCAACCTTCCAAACACATTGGTTTTTTAACTTAAAAAAAAAGACATCATTAATGATATATAGGTTGTGTTTTCACTAGAAATGTTAACTTGCCTAAAATTCCTGGAGGTGTTTTAATCCGACAACCACCTTTCAAGAACAACACTGTGATTGGCCCATTTATTTGGTAGGACAACTTAAACCATCTTGCTAGGTAGTTTAACTTTGCCTTTTTTCCGGTGTTATATTTAAGCTAGTTTAAATTGTCCTAGTGAAAACACATTCATAGAAAAAACAATATATTGTTTAAATCGATACTTTTAAGTTAAAACTTTCATGGCTTAAGATTGTAAAAAGCAAATAACGACCCTATTTAAGACAGCGAAAAACGTAAACAGAAAATTAGAAAGAATGACAAAACGACATTTATCTGTGAAGGAACAGAAAGTAGGCTGGTAGTAAAGGAGCACGCTTGGCTGCAATATAAGCGTTCAAACACACAGACGAGTGCTTTTAACTTATTTAAAGGTCAAATGCCTGGCTTTGGTACCCTTACCTTCAGCATAAGTGTGATCATATTTTGGCTGGTAATACTTTGCAGGCGAAGATGCTTGTTTTCTAATCCATGTTAGTTCATTATTAACGCCAGACGTGGTTKTAAACAAACACAGATCAGTTTCAAAGTTGCAAGAATACTCTATCCTTAAAAAAGAAAAACAAAGATAGGTTTATGGTTAACCAAAAATCGATCCCATTTCCTTTTTTTGAAAAATAATGTAAAAAAAAAATGCTCACATTTTATACTCAATTCCCTTCTTAAATGGAYTTAAGGTGGAACCAAACTAATTGAGATCGAATTTTGGACAACTTTATTCTCGCTCGCTTCGCAAAACTAATTTAGCGAAGCGAGCGAGAATAAAATTGTCCAAAATTCACTCTCAATTACATTAATCCATGACGTAATGTTTTGCCCAATTCAGACCACGTGTCACTCTTTTGATAATAAGATTATTTGTTTGAGTCTTATCCATATTCATGTGTCTTCTCTTGTTTAACATTTAAAGAAATAAACAATACTCTGCTGAATGACAAGTGGTCTGAAATGGGAAAGCAGTGGTTCAGTCTAATAAACAGATATATTTTTTCTAGGCAATTTATTCTAAGGAATTACTCAAACAAATGATTTGTTTGTRGGTGTGTATGTTCAGATTTTCCAAGCGTTCATTTTTAATGTTAAAAAGTAAATAGGCCAGGGTAAACAACTCGATCACTATTATAGATGACAACCTAAATTTTAGCCTAGATAATACCTAACTGCATTCACCTTTATCACTTAAGCAAGTAACGCCAGCGTCGTTATAATGATCACAAGTGCCACGTTTTCCCCATCCGGCATGTTTGCAAAATCCAAGGTCTTTTTCATCTCCATTGCAGCTCACGTCGTTTAGCCATATATGTGGGCCAAACCCCAGTCCAAATGTTGCGCTTGGATGCGCCTCYAATACACCTTTAGAGATATAACAAACGACCAATCAGCGTTTCTCCAGCTCCAAATGAGGAATGACAATAGACCAAATCGATAAACGTAATGTTTTGCCAGTTCAAATCTACTGGCAATACTTTATTAACCTTATATTAACATGCCATTCAAATCTACACGGAATACTTTTTAGTCAATGTTACATGTCAATGAAGCACTGATTTGGATATGATATGTAAATACAATAGACAAAGAAAAGTATCCCCAGTAAAGTTGTATTGGGTCAAACATTGCGTTAGCCGATTAGGCTATTGGTCAATGATAATTCGTATCTTCAGAAGTTCARGTTTAAAACTATTCATTAGAATATGTAAACAAATTAATCTAAGCAAGCCATTAATCGAAAAAAAATGCATACCTAAGAATCCTAACATTCTACAAACGACTTTTGCGTCATTAAGATCCCATTGGTGGTCACAAACAGTACCCCACTCATCTTTATGGTACACCTCCACACGGCCAGAATAATCGTTGTYACTGCCAACCAAACGTACCGGCGTTGTATCTGTACAATTTAAGTGGATGAAAAAATGCGAAAAGCCATAGGAACAACAATGAGTTTTTAAATACGATTAATAGAATACTAAAACAGATCTAATYAGCACATCAACTTTAGAGGAACTGCGTTGTAAAAAAAGCAATAAGCGAAAATATTGGTAGTAGTATTGCGTGTTATAATGGTAGTTACGATCTCGTGGGGGGTGATAGTGGTTTTCATGGTGATGGCGATAAAAGTGATTGCACGAATAATTATGGGGATAGAGACATATGCTAAGGATTGTAATGCTTATATATGATGATTATGGCGATGTTGAGTTCATAATGATTAATTTTGATAGCTATATCGTAATGGCTGGATAACGAGTATGATTTTGCTACATTTATGTTAAAATTATAATAAAAAAGATGATGGTAAAGATGATAATRATGATGATGATCAGTAATGATGATGATTATGATGATAACTTTTTTGATTATTATTAATATGAGAATGATGATGATGATGATGATTAAATGATTATGATCATTATGTAATGATTATATGATGAAATTTAGAGCTTTAATTGCTGAAAGAAGCCTAAACATAATAAAAACGATAATGACGATCGTAATGATGATAATAATGATGATGATGATATTCGGTTGGTAATGTGATGATGCATGATGATGATGGTGATGATGATGAAGATGATGTTAAGGATGATGATGGTGATGATGATGGTGATGATGATGATGGCGATGATGATACTGGTGATGATGATGACAATGATGATAATGGTGATGATGATTGCGATGATGATGATGATTAATATGATGATGATGATGATAATGATTATATGATTGAATAAGATGAATGAGTTGTAGGGCTTTGCTGAAAGAAGCCTAAACTTAAATGTTGTTGCTGATGATGATGGTAATGATTATATAATTCAATAAGATTAATGATGAGTCCTAGGGCTTTGCTGATAGAAGCCTAAACTTTAGCTTTAAGCAGAGAAGTGTGGTACCTGGTCCATTGCCACAATATCGTAGGATACAAGATGGTGGTTTTTGAAGCTCGTAGACATAAAACCCTGAACAATTTTTGACTCGAATAAAAGTTGACCATTTACAGCACTCGCCGAGAAAACTAAAACAGACTTTTCTTGTGACAATTCCTTTTTCTACCGTTGGGTGATCTGAAAAGTAAATAGAAACAAAGATTTGGAAACTCAAAGTGGAGTAATGTGTGTAATTATTATTAGGTTAAGTATGACTTGAGAAGCAGCCATATTGAAATTTATAAAGTAGGACAAAAAGTAAATATAAAGCCAGGAATAATAAGTGGAATTTCATTATCCTTGTCCGCAGGCYTATCTGTTTAATTTGGCTTAACGTCATGCATGAGCCTCTCAGTCGAGTAGCTTGGCTATATCCTCGATTTCGGTGAATCGAGTGGTCTATGGCAAGAGGATATGAACTAAGAGAAGGAATCCTACCTATATAGCCTTCTAACCATCATGTGCACAGTTTGATGCTATTTTTAGCTTGGAGATATTTTGAGCGAAGAACCTCATTGGTTGATTTCTTGAGGGTAGGCGGCTTCTAGTCTTGCAGTAAACAAAGCCTGTGTTTTTGTCGTGGACGTAGCGAAATATGGCGCTTTTMGTGTCCTAAAACGAGGCATTAAAGGGAAGYATGATTATCGCGCGGGCATGGTAACAAGTTAAAAATAGCATCGATGATTCTAAAAATAGCATCAAAGTRTGCACATGATGGGGCACGGGGATTCCTTCTCTTAGTTTATTTTCTCTTGTCTATGGTCAATRCGTACATGATGTGAAARGTAATTGTTTTAACAGAATGAATATATAAATAAGACTTAAAAAATAGCTTTTTACATTAAATGCCATTCGTCTTCTTTTAAAGATATAACTCCAAGCAATTCACCAGGCTACGTGTGTTAGCTCTTAATCGTCCGCCATTTTGGATTTGGCAGAGCTGAAAATGAGTAGTAAGCTAGTTGGAACATTTGATAATCTAATGCCGAATTTTATCCAYACTTCTTATTTTTGGAAAAGTTTTTAGCACTACTACTGGGTTTGTACTGGTCCCATCTGAGAACTCACCTCCATTCAGCCATCCCGGAGCTTTTGTATTGCACTTCCCCTCAGGAACACAAGTAGATGRCATAACATTGCCGGCAAGTCCCATGAAGCGATGCCACTGACCAGGGAATATGTCACTGTTTCTGTCGCATTGATCTGCTTGTCCAGCGAAGGTCTTGGCTCTATCGGCACTGTTTAGCACCTTATATCTTCTGCATTCGTCACCAAATRCACCTAGTTTATTGATTCAGTAAAGAGGACAAAAACAAGTATTAAGAGAACATACCAGTTGCACTCGATGTCTTATTTTCCTGACCTAACAAAAATGGACTACTAGATATCAGGGATCAGCTTCTTACCATTTGAGCAAACAGCCCAGGAATCTTGAGAATGCAAACATCGGTGGTATCCCCATGGATTCTTACGGCATTGCAGTAAGTTACTCTCTCCTCCTGTGCACTGTACGTTGTCAAGCCAGATTGGTACAACACCTTGAGTGATGTTTAACGACGCGATAGCACGACCGAGGCCTGAGTACCCCAACATCTTACACACTACTGTTGCATCTTCGTCACTCCACATATTGTTACAAATAGTACCCCACTGTCCATTGTGRAATACTTCGACACGACCTTGAAGAGGATTTGGACCATCGACTAATCGTGCKTCACCTTCGARGGCTGAGAAAGAAATGTTATATTCATAAATAATACAATAAGCTGCTTTCGATRACATATCGTATGTATGAAAATGGCTGATTTTAGCCCATGTATTAGCATCGGCCAAAATCAATTATTGTCACTGATACGAGTGAACACAATTTATTGCCTTATTAAGCAAGCCAATACACGTCAAATATGTAGCATGGCAAGGGTTAAAATGTTTTGACCAAAATCACATAAATTGTCGCTAAAAAACATAATTTTGCTWACCATAAATCTTGGGTGGTGACGTTGCTGTGCTAGGTGTCATGTTACAAGTTTTGTTGGACACGGTAATGGTATCTATGGCAATATCTCCTCTTTCAGAATTTCCACGAACTCCTTCAAAGATAACCTGAATAATAACCAAAACAGCATTAGATAAATAATGGATTGTTCGTTTTAAGTTCATTTAATTGTAAGTATTTTACCTTTAATCCCTCATCACCAGTAACATTGATCGGGACTTGTCCTTGGATCCACGAGTTTCCTTGTTCTCCACTTAATGTCCATAGCTTAACAATAGATYGAGRAGTTTCTCTYTTACTGTACACATTGAGCCACCCAATATCAATGCCCCTCATATGGTAATAGAAAGAGATGCACTTGGTATTTGCTGGAATCACAGGACTTATTAGTTTTGCTCTTGCTCCTGTATYGCCTGTAGAAACCTCGGTGTACAYATAGTAACCTRCACAATAARAGACCGGACAAATAACATATTCACCAATAGTATAGTTAGTCTCGACCTTTCGACGGACCTGTTGCTTARTATCTAGTTTAGTCATCATTCGCTCTTTTCTTATTTTAGTAACTCCTATTTTTCCTCCCTTCACCCTACCCTCTAGGAACAAATTTACAAATTATGGATTTTCTAATCTACCGACCTACCGACCTACCGACCTACCGACTTCATAAGATTACCTCTTCCGCTTTGGTCATCATGTGGTCCAGTGCCTGAAGAAGGTGTCGGTCCTCTGTTCCTCGTCCAATCAAATTCACTGTTAGTTCGGTCTCCATTCTGATATCCACATGTGCCGTACTCGAAGGTACACTGTCCGTCTGCGGTAGCTATCGTTTTGTGATCTAATTATGAAATCAACATGTTTTTTACTTCAATTATATTATGAATAATTAAGAACATACAGTGATACCATTGAATACGAAGCTTCAGGGGATTGTTACCTAGTTGACAGACAACACCGGCATCCTCGTAATGATCGCAGTTATTGTTACCCCATCCACCGTGACTACATTGAACAATCGAAGTCTCACTTCCTTTACAGTTTACGTCATCCAGCCATATTGTACCAACTCCTCTTCCATAGACTTGGGATTTGGTAGTCCTTACAGCTCCAGGGAAGCCGAGTATTTTACAGACAACATTAGCATCAGTTATGTCCCATAAGTCATCACAAACAGTACCCCAAACGCCGTTGTGAAAAACCTCGACTCGACCTTCGTAGTTTGTTTGTCCATTGACAAGGCGAAGTGAGCCATCTAAAAGAAAAAGAAATCCAATATTATATAAGACAATGATGTTCATCTGTGCCAGGAGGTATTTGTCTTATTGCTAATGCTAATTGCTAATCATACCTTTCCAAGCTGGTATTCCTGTAGGTTTGATATTAGGACCAGAGGAAGGATTTGGCAAACAAGAGGAATTGTAGACAGAAATGTCGTCAATTGCGATTCCACCAGAATACGCATTTCCATTGACAGCCTCGAAAACAAGCTGGAAAAAAATCCACCCCAAAAATGTGATACATAGAGGATATTACATGGGCGCGCGGAGATACGAATTTTATCTTCGAGTGTTCAATTGATTTCATCGATATCTATATAATAATAAAAGATATATAATTTAGGTATTAGTTAAAACTTAACTCGCAAGCTTCACCTGTGAGATTAATCCGTACGAAAAATGTGAAAAATAAGGAAGCATTAAACACGTTCCTTCTTTTCTGTTGTCAAGTAAACTAACCACGCTCTTGAAAATGACTTTTGAAGAAGTAGAAACGTTTACAACAAAACTAGTCGTTGTGAAGCAAGAGAAAATGAACCAAGAGAAGGAATCCCCGTGCCCCATCATGTGCACACTTTGATACTATTTTTAGAATCACTGATGCTATTTTTAACTCGTTACCATACCCGCGCGATAATCGATCATACTTCCCTTTAATGCCTCGTTTTTGAACACGAAAGCGCCATATTTCGTCTCGTCCACGACAAAAACACAGGCTTTTGTTTACTGCAAGACTGGAAGCCGCCTACCCTCAAGAAATCAATCAATCAGGCTCTTCGCTCAAAATATCTCCAAGCTAAAAATAACATCAAACTGTGCACATGATGGTTACATGGCTATATAGGTAGGATTYCTTCTCTTAGTTCATATTCTCTTGTTGTGAAKTTAATAATTATATTTTTATCATGTTTTTTTGTTGTTGTACAAACTGCCATAGTTCCGACCCGGCTTCGGTTAATTCTATTTTCAAAATAACCTGTAAACGACTTACATTAGAKGTTCTGTTCAAAGCGTCTTGGCCAAGGAAAATTTGTGATTTGTACCATTTGTTACCTTGGTTGCCAGTTAATTGTTCTAGCCGTGTGTAGTTCCCTTGCACCTTCAAGTACACGTTAAGTGTACCGAGTTGGGACCCAAACATGTAGTAGTAAAAGGTAACACACGAAATATTGTAGAGAGTTGGACTAACAAGGCGAGCCTTACTACCTCGTGTTGAGCCTTCTGCGTACAYGTATCTGCCTGGTGACAAGGGAAAAAAGTATGGACCAAAGTTACCAAAATTAGGAGGAAGAGTTAAATCAACTGATCAGACCTCGAGCGATGCACCAAAGAATGTTAAACCCGAGAGAAGATGTTCTCAGGCAAAAACTAYCACCTGGGTATTGATCTACCTCCCTCCCAGACCTCCTCTCCCTGAGTGAAATGCTTAGCTTGTTTATGAAATAACGAGACAGTGTACTTACCAAGGCTTGTAGTATGGTCTTTTCTAGGGCCTGACGTACTTGTTAATGACTTTGCATTCATTCCTTGCCAGTCAAAATCGTCAGAGTTCARGTTCTGATAACTGCACAAATTGTCATCAAAAGTGCAACTTCCGGAACCTATCATTACAAATACGTTTTTAATTGGTTTATCAGGGGCAAATGCAGGGAGAGGGTTGTAAGAGTTACAGCCTGGCCCCTCCCCAACGAAATAAAATGATAATCCCCCCCCATCCTCTTCATCACAGAACCCTCTCTTTAAGAATATTTGGGATCCGCCATCCGTCGAATTCTCTGTTAATTAGGGTTTGTCCCGATGTTGTATGTAACTATTCGTGTGTTCATTTGTGGATCTTTTGACATTGAAATAAGGCTGACTGAGTAAATGAACCCGTAATAAGGTAACACAGAGGCATATTACGAACTTGCATGAATTTCAATAATATTCAGCAATAAAACAACATACGTCTGTGGGAGAAAACAGAACACGTGGGGTAAACTTTCGAATAAAGTTGTAGTAGCATCGACTATATAGGGCCTKGCAATTACATTTTACCTTCAGTAATGACATCTTTAGGTTTTGCAGTTGTCGGGCTAAATAAGCACTGGTCTGATGTCATGCTGACGTCATCAATAGCAACACTTGCTATATTATTTACTCCAACTACTGCTTGGAAGTAGATCTAAAGCAATAAAATTATCAACGAGTCAGCAAAGAATTACTTCGTAACCCTTCGATCATTTTGTAAATAAGATCAAGATTTGCATAATTGAAGTATATAGTTATAATTTGTTTCGATAGAAAAAAATCCATGCAAGTTTTATATGGTTATAACTTTTTAAAGTGCCTATCACCCTTCTGACAATATTCTCAGTATTGATTCTACATGGGGTAAGATGTTRAATAACCCGAAAAAATTACATAGTTTGAGTGCGGCTTCTTGAAGTTATGAAGGTTTTTCCATGTCATATGCTAATGCTGTGACGTATRAAGAGGCATTTATGGTTATTTGTTGTTCCTCGTAATTCGAAACACTGGCTYCTATGGGAAAACTAACTTGCAATYATTTCTATAAGAGCAATGGGGAAAACAATGACGTATTTCAAATTTAATTTATCTGTACCAGTAGTGTTTCGTATATTAAATGATTACTCCTCATACGTCACAGCATTAGCATATGGCATGGAAAAACCTTAAAGACTTCAAGAAGTTGCACTTAAACTATAT